GAGAATTCAGCTCATATCGAGGACGTTTTATGAAAGGGAGTTTTATCATTGGAGCAATCAAGATTCTTATTTTGTAATAATTCATTAACATTGTAGGAATGCTCGGAATTAATTGGCATGATGAAACTAGTTGACTTGAACAAGTCAAGGAACCAGCACACTAACATAAATCATTTCTTAATATTTATTTTATTGTAAAATGTAGGTATGGATGTACCCTTTCTTTTTTTGGCATTTGGTTATCCTCTTTTCCCCTTAAAACAGGTTTACGAGCTTTATATTTACAATCTTTGATGATTTTTCCATAGTTTTCAGATATTTTTTATGTTAAATGAATGTTTACCCGAAACCTTGAACCATTCAACGTTATTCCGATTTTTCTCTATATTATAGAGATATTCTATATCCGAGCTACACGTTAATGAAGATTTCAACTCTTCTATCAGGGGCTCCCAACGAGAAATTAATTTCTGAAAATCACTCACAGCAACAGGTGTTGTCGATCCGCTTATTAGAGAATTATGACGGCGTGTGCGTGTACTTTGATCAAAGTAACGGCAAGTTTAAATATTCAAACTTTTGAAAAAAAAAAATGGATTGATATATTTTAGAATATACAGATTTTATCGCCGGCGAGAAAAATTATGGAAGCGGGTATAACAAGCGAGAAATTTGTAATCGATTTTTGAAAAGATATGGAAGAAAGTGGCCGCCATTACAATTCCAAAATATTAATATATAACGTTGTCATTTTATTTATGTAATTTAGCCACAACTGATTAATGTCTTTCAGACGAGCTTTATTTAATTTATTTAATGTCAAATGGTTGAATCTGGAATTTTTCAGTGGCAGGAAGATGATAATTTTGAAAATTACTGAAATTTTCAATGAAAACAGGAATCAATACCAAATTACACTGGATTTCCAAGTAATCGAAGATTTGAGGATTTGTTTATCTAAATTTTCTTTATTGCTCTTGATTTTCATTGAATAACGGAATTAAAACTATAGTTTCATCGATATTCCCAAAGTTCTGGAATTTCAATTGCGGAATTCTTTGAAATTCCAGTAAAACTAGAATATGATTAAAACAAAATTTTACGAGTGGGAGCAGTATTATCATTTCTCGAAAGGTTTGTGTCAGAAACTCCCGATTGATTCCCATTAAATTCTGGTTACACCCAGACGATACAAACAAACAGAGCAAATTGGGAGAAGTAAATAAACTAATGGATTTGTCGTGAGGTAGTGAACTGGAATAAATACATGTAACTAACAACAGTTTTGAGCAGTTTTTTGAAACACGAATGGAGATGAAGAACAGTTCAGTTATTTGTTTTTAGAAATATCTTTTTTACCAACTCGCTGCGATAAATTGTTGTCACAAACTAGTTGCTACTAATTATTTACCATCTATACATTATGTACAACAATAATGAAATTAAAAAACACCGATTCCTTCCGGAGCTTCAAAATTTCCTATTCATTTTCCATCAATTCAAGTTGAATTTCCCAATTATTTTATTTACAAATTATTTTTTAATTACTCAAAAAAATTAAGACTTTACATTTTCAATCTATTCGCGCCGTTTTTTAAATACACAGAGAAAATTGAAAAAAGTGAACGGACACATCAATTCATCATCAACTATATAGTGTATTTATATAGCATATAGATAGTATATAATAAGTAAATATAAAAAACTAAACTAATTGTTGGGAAGCGAAAAACACTTGGTTTACGAATTGACAATTTATTTTATTTATAATTTACTTTGAGAGAAACTAAACAAGTAATTTTTGAGATTTTCGAAACAAAACGGTTTTTGGAAAAATCTGTGTATCTTAAAAAATGCTTGACCGAGATCCGACCACCAAATTCCGAATTTTTCGCTTGAATTTTCCTCCTTTTTGCCGCTTTTTTTTCGAATCGAAAAAACCGCATACACCAACAGACAAACCTACACACATATACCTGTAGTTGAAATTGTACTCTCACGTTTTTGTTTTGAAATTTTTTTTATTTTCATTTATTTTTTCACGTTTCATAACATTCTACATAATCTCCAGACAAAATGAGAAAATGAAAAAGAATTGATTGATTGATTGATCGATTGCGAAGGTTCGATTCGGAAGCAAAAGAAAGAAAAAAAAAGAAAAGAAAAGGGGAAAGAAAAGGAAAAAAAGAGGTTGGTCAAAGACTCACCGATTCGATTGCTCGATCACCAATGGAACGATCTTCACGATTCCCCCTCCACGAGTCATGAATTTTAGATAGTGACAAGGTTGCCAAGTCATGAGCAGTAGAAGGTAGAAGCAGTGTTGTTGCCACTGCCAGAGTGCCAGTTCCCCTCGATTCCATTCTGTTGAGTTGTGAGCGTTGTGAGTTGATTCTGTTGATTCTGTTCTCTTGTGTGCGGTGTCTCCTGGCGATCGCTGCAGTTCCCAAGTGCTCCCAGTCCCCTGTTGACGCACACGCTGCCTTCACCAAATAAAACCAAATTAAAATTCAACAAATCACTCAACAATTAACCCGAATCCCCCCAAAAATGTCCTCCCACCGACAGCGCAAAAACCCCTAAAATACCCACCAAAAAGTCGTGCAATAAATAATAATAAAACAAACAATCGGTTAAAATCCGTAACATGTGCCCCAAGTGTAAAGTCTCGAGCCACGTTAACGCTTATCTCACATACCGTATTTTTACCAATGGCTACCGTTAATTATAATAAAACCAGTTAATCCGCGTGTCGATCCGACGAGTAACGAGTCATCAGTAATGAGTTGCAGTCTCAGTGATAATCACACAACCTCCTAGCATGATAAATTCGTGGAGTTGTCATTGATATTGAGGGGATTATAATTATTGGTTTTTCAATCAGGGGTGATTGTGAGTGGAATGATATTTGTCGGCTCATTTTCGGAGGATCGGTCTGTTTGGTTGGGGATTTTTGGTGGTGAGATGAGGATTTCTTGAGGGGGATTTGAAAAAATTTCGTTGGGTTTTTTTTTTTTCATCTTTTTTTTTTACGTGGGATTTTTTTGGGGCCTGAGGAGAGTTGAGGGGCCTGGCAAGAGGGCATCGACGCCGGGACGCTTTGGCATGTATTCACTCTGAGAATTTTAGGGGTGGGGAAGGTTTTGGGACTTGAGGAATTCCGGGAATTTTCACGGTTTATTTTGGGGAAATTGACATCATGAGTGTGAAGGCACAGGGAAATGGGGGGAGTTGTGAAACTCTCGTAAGCAAGTGCGAAATTCCCATCATCGATCTTGCACACATGGGTGAGTTTTATTGATGGTTTTTATGGATTTCCGGGGGGAATTCTCAGGTCAATGGATCTTCTCCTGTTGGAGAGAAAATTCTTGTTATTATTGTGAACTCTTTATTGATGCTGTTTATAAAATAATATTGAACAATTACTTTTACGTATGGCATGCAAAACTTGACAAGAGATTCCATCGTTTTTTTTTTATTACTAATTGTAATGTAGGCAGTAAGTTATTCCCGAAATTCGAGGTAGAAATTTAGAGTTTGTTACCTGCATTTATGGGGGATGGAAGCTGGGAAAATCGGTTCGGGATTTCGGGGATTATGGAGGGTTTTGCCAGTAAGAGCTCTTCAATGGAATATTCCCTGCAGATATGGATAGTTTTCATTGGGTTACACTTTCACTGGAATTTTCGAACATTTGTCGTTAAAAATTGAAAGTCCTTGGGAAAAAATAAAGGAAATTTAATTCGTAATCTTTGAGATTTCCTTTGGATTTAAAAGGGAGAGCGAAATTTTTGTTGAGCTTGTTTTCGGGGCTTTCTTTCTGAATTTTGCTAGTTCTCTTCGATTTAGAAGTATTAAAAATAAATCGAATAGGGAATGAGTAGATTTATTAGCCTTTAACTTTGTCCAGAGCGTTATTCCTGGAAATCAGAAGGAATCAGGAAAAATTGGATAAGTTTATTCTGAAATACTCGATTCATCAGAAACTCGGTATAATTTTGCACAGAATATGCATATTCACGTTCTCGCTGGAAAAAATATTTAAATTTCATTGAATTTTCAACTTAATTGATTTCATAGTTTTTTTCTGCCTAATTTAAAAATGATACTTCAATTCTCTATGAAATTTTAATTATCAGAGTTGTCAATTGACGTTTGCCATAAATATTTTTTAACTCCATGTTCCCAAGAATATGATTTTTACATATTCAAAAATTTAATTTGCATTGGTCCGTATTAGATTATGGTATTGAATAAGCAAACACATTTGTTAACTTTCAGAAATGATTTTAATTTTAAATATCTCTGAGGGTTGACAGACAGAAGGCACTTAGAAAATAAATATCTACAATAGCCTAAAGAGGTATTAGAATTTAGACTGAGTTGCCCCGGAGAGGGCAATATACTTTCCATCCCCTGAAATATTTCCTTTTTTCCTTTTTCTGGCCCTTTCTGGTCACCAGATGTATTTTGGAAATATCCAAAAGTTTATTTATTTTTATTTTATTATTTAAGTTTAGTTTTTTTTAGTTTTTTAGTTTATTAAATTTTACAACCAAGGGAAATCCCGAAGAATGTGGCTATAAAGTTTATTAAACTATCCTTACTTAAATGCGAAAATAAAACTTAGAAAGAGTGAATTTTATACCTGGGGAAATCCCCGAAAACCAACAGTCCGAAATTCAATTTAGGGAAAATGTCGAGGATTGAAAAATTGAAAATTATATCTGTAAATTACGAATTTTTATCGGATATTTTACATTTTTCTTAATTATTCAAAAATGTGAATTGACTTCAGAGCCGTAGAAGTTTGAATAATAATTATTATTCGCAGAAATATCCAAATGTCTCTAGAAAGTTTGCAAACTTTATAAAAACGTTAGAAATTTTTGTGAGAGAGTGAATGAATTTCATATTCCGGAAGCGTTTGAAAAGATTGAAGAAACATTCCACTGGAGATAAAGGACTTAGTTGAGAAATTTTAATATACTTTAAAATATTTCAAACACTGATGAGAAAAAATATAAAAAGTACAATCATAGAAAGTATTTCCAGTAGTCGAAAATTGTTTGTTTTTCGCAGATAGAAAGCTATTTAGGGAATGATGGATGAAGTTTTTGGAGTTGAGTCTGCTTTTTGGAGCATGAGGGATTATTTTGGGAATGGCTGCCTAGGAGAAAGTGTCATGAAGCTTTTTTTGTTGGCCTTTTAGTGGTCTACATTGCGAATTTTTTATTTCCTTCCTCACACATTCAATTGCTCAAATGTCAAAGGAAATTTTCGACGGTTTTTGGAAGTCAGGCCTTTGAAGTGGCATTTTGTGAGTTAAAGAGAATTTAAAACAATCATATTCTTTTGCTTTTAAAATCCCATAAATTTTACCAGAAATCTCTAACTTTCACTAGAAATAATCAGGAATTTTACGTAAATAGCACTAGAAATTTAATTCCCAATTCAACTCATCAATTAAAAAAAAAACAGATTAAAGCCTTTTTTACATTTTGACGAATATGTTTCTGTTCCTCCAATAAATTAATCATTTGCTGGAATAATCATGAGCGGGATTTCTATGGCGATATTCTTTCAGATATACTCCACACTGAAAAAAAAATTAATTTTGTTAATGAAATTTATTCGGGCCAAACCCATTCGTTCGAAAGAACAATTTCAACAGGAATTCTCCGTACAGATTTCGCGCCTTTAATTGTCTCAAGTATATTGCCAGAAAACAATTAGCTGATAAATTACCGGGAATTGGCGGGTGTTGGTTGAGGCACTTCCCCAGTTGCTTATAATAATTTTGCAATACGTGAGAGCCACCATAATTGGAATATTTATTGTGGGGTATTCTGAAAAAATATTACCAGAATTTCAAGAACTTTTACGACGTCATATTTTAAATATATAACGTTAAACTTTGAAGGAAGAAACATGAAATTTCGATATTTATTGATGTATCTTTCAAACACGGCGTTGTTAAAGTCTTTGCAATTTTTAGAATAATTTATAGATGTATCTAACAACAAGCAAACTCAAATTCGATTTTTGTGACAGATTGTGAGTTTTCGAAAGTATGATTGTGGAAATACCTGAAGGAGTTGTTTGTCAAGTTTTTTTACGAATTTTTGAGAAACGTGTGATAAAATTGACGTGAAAAAATCTACCGTTTTTTTGTGTTATTATTATTCAAATTTAATCAACATTATTCCTTTCCTCCATTCTTAATAAACTTTTGCGAAAGTTGACAAAACTTTATCAAAAATTGAGAAAAATAGATGAAGAAATATGAGGATTCAGAAATGATTGAATAACGATGAAATCAAAAACCGGTATATTTTTACAAGTCAATCTGATCCACGATTTTCCAAAAATTTCCAAAAAAAACGTGAAAAATGAGAAAATCTCAATAACTCCTTAACCAGTCTGACTAAAAAAACCGAGAGTTCAGATTTTAGGAATTTGGAATTATACAGGATGGATATTATTTTCGTAGATAAGAGGATTCTCGACGAGAAAATGTCCCCTCGCTGATTCCTCTGGAATCACTCAGCACGGAGATAATGCAATACACCTCAAACACTTTCACCACTTCACTCCTCAATTTCTTTGTTTTGTAGACGGAGTGGGAGTTGTTATTGGGAGTAGGTCAGTGTTGCTATGTGGAACCAGTTATTTTGGTTTACCAATTTTTAAAAACAGAAATTAACGTATGATATTCGTCTCCATAAATGCTAATTAGTACCCTGAGGAAAAATATACGTTTGATAAATATTCATCTACTCGAAGAAAATATTTGTTTTTAAAATCAAGTCTCTCTAACGGAGTTATTTTTCGGTAGTTCTGATGACTTTTGTGCTATGACAATCATTATTTGATTATTGTTCAAGATTCTTCATAATTCCAAGATTTTTTACTTTCTGGAATTAACAATTCTGATTAATTATTTAATTTTGGTAGCAAAACAGCAGAGGAAAACAAAGGGATTTAGTTAATAATTTACAATGTCGTTCCCTTCTAGCCAAAATTACCATTTTTTTTTATTTTTCACATTTTATAATTATTTGATCGCTCCCAAAATATCGTAATCGCACAATAATTTTCCTGTGTTTTTTCCACAGCTTCTCAAAAATTCATAAACTTTTAGGACAAACACTGGGAAATTATTGCACACTTACGAAAATTTCCGAGTCCTGAAATAATGACAAAATTCAAAAACTATATATTTTTTCTATTTAATCCGATTAACAATTTGTCAGAAAACTCGAAAAACCGGTATTTTTGTCTGGAGCGAGGTACAGCATCTTTATCGTTATCGAAAAATATCTCGGAATTAAAAGATATATCGAAATTTTCATCAGGAGCTTTTTCATGGATCTCTTCATGATCTAAGAAAATGATTCTAATAAAAATCTTGCTGTCGCTCTTAGATTACGAGATATTTCCAGAGAACTGGAGTAAGGGAGAGGTGCACCTGTCGATCTTTACCCTTTTGCTGCTGATTTAATTAATTAATTACATATTTTTTAAATGTTTAGTAATTATCGAGAGTTCACACAGAGTTCTCTCAGAACAATATCATTCTCATAATAGAAACCTAACGGAATTATCCGGAAATTCTTAATGTTTCTCTGAAGTGAATTGATGTTTAACGGAAAAAAATTCCTCTCCGCGTGGGGAATAACCGATATGGTTCTCGATTGTAATCTTATCGACACCGGAAATTAGTCAACATCAATGGGCATTTTACAATGAATCGTTACAAACGCCGAAGCGAGGTCGCAAAGTCGATTAAAATCTCTGAATTCAACACAAAGGAGTAGAAATATCTCGTAACAATCACTCAGACATTGAATAATTATTCCAACTGTGATAACTCATGACGTTCCTCTCAAAAAATGTTCTGAAGGCTTTTCCATAAATAAATAGTTTCTAAAATATCCATAAGTAAATGATGATAAGTAAATGATGAATGGTTGTCTTCAGTTTCTGGGATAATTCCTCTCTTCCTTTAGTATTGACGTAATATCCCGTGTATTCAATGAAAAAGTTATCGAATAGGCTTTAAAAATACGTGAATAAGTTATTCCCACAATTTTTCATAGAGGTATAGCGATTTGAACCGAAAAATATGATTTTCATGTTTTACTCAAATTTCCACTTTGGTTGAATTTTTCTGTATTCCAAAAAAAAATCAATAGTAATGTGCATATACCATTGCAAATAATACTTTATGATCTCCGAAATAGCATCAGTATCTGATTTAATTATTTTTGTAGAATTATTAAAGTTTTTTCATTTTTACCGTTATGTCACACTCTAAAATTTATGTTTATCCAATTATCGTAGCATTACACGCAATTTATGTTTATCTATCGAGGACTATCATGGACCACTTTCGAGATCACAATGAGCTCTCTACAATACCTCTTGAATTTTCCAATTATATGGATTTTATCAAAAGTTATTGATTATAATACGTCGAATCTCACGTGTCACATTTTGAAACAAGTAGTTTTTGAGATATTCGAAAAAAAAAACGATTTTCAAGGAAATTAGTGTATTTCGATAAATGCTTGATCGATCGATCTGAAATTTTGTTCAAATCCACTCCCAATTCTTCAATCGAAAAATCCGCGCACAGATTTATTTGAAATTTGGTATTAACCTGATTAAATTTAATTATAACCGCAATTTTTAGACTGCAGTCATCAGTTCGAATGGACTTTAAGACACCAATGATAGAAATAATTCCAATCCACTAGCTTAGGAAATGATTCACCACGTGGCCCATTGAATCTCATTACTCTACATAAGAACTGAATTGCACCATTGAAAATTCAGAGATTAATCCAATGAATTTCCACTCAATCTCAATTGCGTCTCTATCGATTCCCTCAATATCTCATCGATTACTTTTGTTCGTGGATTGAAATTATGTTGACGTATTGCATTGAGGATAGATCGATGATGATTTATCCCTGTTTCGGGTGTTTGCTTTTTTATTCAAACGTTCGCTGCTCATTGACAACTATTAGCATTCGTTTGAATGAATGAATATTAGAATTCGTTTATTTGAAGAAACACAAAGAAAAATCAAAAAATGAGATTCGAGGTGCTTTTCAGTTAGGAGATATTAAATAAATAATATGGTGTAACTTATCAATGCAATTCTCATAATATTCTGATTGAATTAAAATGATTTTGATATTAATGCTTTGGGCTGTGATTTTCTGACAAATTGTTTATCGGGTTGATCCGAAAAAACTTACCGTTTTTATATTTCATCATTATGTCATGTTCGTGCGTTCGGAAGTTTCATGAATTTTTCGAATGTTTAGGAAAATACACAGGAAAATTATTGCACCGTCATGACATTTTATGAGTCATTAAATAATGATAAAAGCAAAACCGGTTCATTTTTCCACGTCAATCCGATCAACAATTTGTCAGGAAAAAACTTAAAGAAACTGGGAATTCTGACTAAAAGAGTGCAACATCTTTAATCCAGTTTTCAGAAAATGCAAAAATATCAATTCAGTATTAACAAGGTAAAGGCTAGCATATCAACTTCTATTAGTTTCATTTTTTTAAAATATCTCTGATAAAAAGGTTTCCAAAAATTTGGTCATTTCACTTAGAGTGTAGATATTCCGGGAAATTGTCTTTTATTAATGAACTAATTAATCTAATCGTTCTGGGATTTGAATTTCAATTGGTTTTAATGAATAGGAATTAGTGAATTTTATATTTATGAAACAAAAAACGCGATAGATCTCTTTCAAGAAAAATATAAAATATTACAAACAGAACGACGAATACTGAAAATTGAATTTTTTTATGTTTATTGTCGACTTTGTTGGTTTAATTGATTTTTAACTATTCCGTAATTACTTTACTTTACTTACTTTACTTTACTATTATTTTTACTTGTTTTCAGGGACTGAGAGATGTCCTCAGAAAGGAGTTGTAAAGCAAGTAGCTGCTAAATTGGTGAAGGCCCTCTCGGAAAAAGGACTTGCACTGCTCGTCAATCATGGAATACCAGACTGCAAGGTACTGATTCAATTATTAATGCTCCTCGTCACATAATTTTAGAAAAACTTGGAAAACATTTGAGTTATTCTTCATATTTTCCACTGACATGACTCATCGCTGAAGTTAATTGGCAGATGATTCGACAATTATTCATTAACAATCTCCAAAAAGAGTGAATTTAGAGGAACACTTCACTAAAATTTCTTCTAGATAGTAGAGCTATCTAAATAATTGGACAATTTACAATGGATTTATAGAGCGTGTGGCTTTTCAAACGGTTTGTGTTTGCATTTCAAGCGAAATCTATTCATTCTCGGTGAATTTCCTGAAGAACTGATAATCACACAGTTCTTCGGATAATTTCCTCAGGCATTTAGCAATTGTATGAGAATTAAGCGCAGATAACAGAATTTTCCATTATTGAGAGAATTCTCAGCTATTTTGTTTTCCATAGAACGAGTGCTCAATGTCAGATCAACCTGATTAATACAATTTGCGATTACACGAGGCTAATCGATGATTTCATGCATGTAGAATTGTAATCAGAGGTGTTGGGTATTGGACACCAGATATATCTTCTGAGAAAATTATACAATTGAAGAAAATTAGCTGCTCTGTTGTGTTTTTCTCAAGGTCCGAGTGTATTGTGTTTCCAAACTTATTTTCCTTTTTTCGAAAGTCATCCTTAAGAATGTTCTCTTTCCTTTAAGCAAAAATCACTGGTTTCTTGTGTTTGCTGACAGATTCCTCATTGGATTGACGCAAAACAATATACCGTTTCCGCATTTTATCATTATTTAATGACTCCCAAAATGTTGTGATCGTGCAATAATTTTCTTGCGTTAATTCTAGAATTATCAAATATTTATCATTTCTATTTCTTTATAATATTGGTATGAAATAGCGATGAAATGTATAAGCCGGGGTCAGAACATCCTTAATAATCTTTAATAATCGAATAATTTTTAATTTAAAGCAGATGACGAACTGTAGAAAATTTTGGCTCAGCTTTTATCCTTTCGTTATAATAAAGAATGTTAATTTTTTTTATAAACCGTTTAGTTACTCATGAATTATTGATGGATTTTTTTTTTCAAGATGAAGGCTGTGTACAGATCTTTGGACAGATTTTGTGAATTACCGAAGAAGTCACGCGAGAAGTATGAGTTTATATCACCCTGCAGTCATGGATATAAAAAACCTGAAACTGATCAGTGAGTAATACACATCTGGACTGTGAATTTTAGTTTAATTTGTCTTTGTTGCAATTTCCGAGATATTTACTAGATGAAACAGAGTCACAACCCTCAGTGTGACTCTTTTTTAAGAGAATTTATTTTGATAAATAATTTGTTAATTTTTTAATTAATCTCTCTTGAATGATCGATTTCCAATGAATGTTTTCTCTGAGACGAATTTTCTGTGAGAAGGAAATTCTTCAGAGAAAAAACTCCATATTCTTCATGTATTTACTCTCTAAAAAACCATTGCTACTGGTTAATTAACTAATTACTCCTGACAAACATGAATCGAATAATTGCGACAAATATAAATCTTACTAAAATTACTTAAAACTATTGATTATCAGTAGCTACTCATTATATCGAGTATAATTCTACTCTTTTAGAAATTTCAATAACATAAAAAAATAGGGAAAATGCTTGTGACAAATCTTAGGGAAACTTTTGAAAAGTAAATAATACTGAAAAGAAAGGGAATTAAGAGAAATTTGTTGTTACAATTCCTCTGAAGTTTGACCCAACATTTGTGACAAGCAATTCTTTTTTAAAGTTTATTTTGCAAGACGAAAAAACATTTTTTTTCTTTTTATCGCTTCCGGGCTTGGTGAATCATTAAAAATTTTATCTGATAATTTACGCATGCAGATACAACGTGACTGAAAAGGAGGCGAGGCACGAATACATCATCTGCGGTGGTGACAATAACGTAATGCCAGATGACGATGTTCCCGATTTTCGTGCTACTGTTGACGAACTCGCCAAGGACATGAAACAACTCTCGACAATGTTACTCGCCGTATGTCATCAAATTAGATAAAAAGAGAACAAAAAAACCAACAGAACAGAAAAAATTTTTTTTTTATCGAATGCACAGGCCCTCTCCATCGGCTTGGAACAGCCTGGAGACTTTTTCCTGCGTAAACACTCGCATATTTTGGAGGATGGAAATGATTCTACCATGAGAATCATTTATTATCCACCCTCCGCTCTTTCGGAGTCAGGAACTATGCGTTATGGGCCTAGATGTGACTGTGGCACTTTCACCTTGATTGCTCAGGTAATTCAGATATTATTTTTCTTCATGATGTCCAAGTACGTCAAGCATGATTTTGTCGTGGAAATTGAACCAATTACAGTGACTCTTGGTAATTTTCGTCCACTATTGAAAATTTAAATCACTTTTAACTAAAATTTCAAGAACTCTTTGACAGTTTCTGCCACCCGATCTACGGTATATTTTTCTAATCAATGACATTTATTCTATTAGCAGCGAAGAATTTCTCATAAAATTCAAAAATAAATATAAACTATTAGACTAATTCGAATAACAGTAGGTCAAGGATTAGATTAAATCTAATTACTCTCCCATACTCATCTATCCTCGAAAATTACGTAAATTACGAACAAAAAAATCATTTTCATATTTTTCCCAGAGCTAATCGTTTCTTCAATTGATTGAGTAATAATAAAACTTAAGAATTCAATCGATTGCATTTTACCACTTCATATTATGAATTTCTATAATCCGTCTTTATGCTAAATTCCATTCATACTTTAATATCAATCAATCATATGTTATTTAACATTTATAAACAATCAGTTTTTTCAAACCATTTGGTGCTAATAAATTCCTTGCCAATGTTTTCTACGCCAAATGCACATATATAAATTTTTTAATTTTTTTAAGTGCGCGTAAAGAATATTCGAATGGTTTTGAAAACCTAATGTAGAAGGCAAAGGCCTTGTGAGTTCTCTTTTTTTCTAATGAATGGTTTATTTTAAAGGATTAAGGCCAAAGTGTTTCGATGATTGTTAGTTAGTGTAATCAGACAGGATAAGGTGTCTATCGTTAACGAGAATCTTTTTAACGGTAAAAATTTTTTACTAGAGTTCGTTATCAATTTCTGTGTGTCATCCTCATTCTCTGGGAGTATCACAGAGTAAAGATGGCACTTATCGCGGTAATTGCCGCACACTTTACTAAAAATTCGAAAAAGTGCTTTTGTACGTACAGCAAACAACGGGGGAAAGCAAAATTTTACCACGACAAACGATTTTTCGATTCTCTTTTTCAATTGATTATTTTTTATTTGAATCTTTTTACCGGTTCGATATTGAATTAAACAAGGCAACATTAATAATTTCATGATTAACGATTTCCATCTGATTGCAAGGATTGCGAGGGTGGTCTGGAGATCCAGTCCCCCAATGGTGAGAGGTGGGGCAGAGTGGGTCACTTACCAGGGGCTATTCTCGTAACCACTGGTGACAGTTTAGCCAGATGGACCAAGCAGCAGTTACCTTCCCTGAAACATCGCGTTGTGGTCCCCGAACATTGCGGCCGAGGTCGTCACTCGATAGGATTCTTCATCCACCCCGACGATAACGTTATCATCGAGCCATGCGACACCCAGATATCAATTCCATCCCAGGAACCAACCATTTGTCGTTTGCAAAAGAAGAAACGAGGAGTTCTCACAGCATATCACCATCTCCAGCGTCGCTTCCGTGAAACTTATGCTTCATGAAGTTTTTCAAAGTATTACGGGGGCATAATGGGTGACCATGCAGCGGCCATGCTCTTATGGTAATAGTAAAGAGATTTTTTTTAGGAAAAAGTGATAATTCATTCTTGTGAATTTGTTTTGTGATCACTGATGAAGAGAAAAAATGACTAATCCCCAGGTCATGGGGATTTAATGATCGATTTTTCGGAATTTTAGGGAAAAAAACTTATGCATCTCATGGTAGATCTTTGTCAATTGTAATTATATAATTATAATTGATTTTAAAATCATTATTAGGAGTGGGAGGAGGTGAAAAAATTGTCAAGTTTTATGGGGGAGTACAAAATGAGCAATCGATTTTCGTTCAAATTTTGAAATCACATGTAATTTTTCACGAAATAGTTTTATTTTCATTGAAGAGTATCGATTTATCTTGAAGACTATTGAATTAAAGTGGAAATGTTAATGGCCATTTTTGTGGCCGATTAAATTTCGCAAAAAAATCAGGTGTTAAGATCCATCGGCATTTAACAAAACTGGAATTCCATTTATTTTGTTTCACCATTTACTAATTTTATTGTCTTTTTTGCAAGGCTAGACAGTTTAATAGACCAATTTATCGCTAAAAGATAGCCGACATCTCCAAATTACCATTCATGAGTTACTCCCTTCGAAATACTTCCACTTAATAGAAACACGTTGACAATAATTATCATTAATGAGTAATTGAATTTTGATAGGACGAAATTGCCTTGGCCTTTTTTTTCTTAAACGTGACTCACATGTATGAAATGACATGTGTCCTCAGTGGAATAATAAATCAATTTGTACTTAACTTAAAAGAAAAAGTTTCTTCAATTTTCCCTTTACATTTTTTTAAATTTCAGGTAGTACGAAATGTCGAAATAAAGCAGAAAAAGAGAAGTTGTTAAAAACCTGGATCCCACTGGACAGTTGAGGGTACCTCGTAGGTCCTGAAGCAAATAACCGTGTCACCAAGTTGCACTTTAACGTTAGGATCCACGAACCTCAGACCGCATTCAATTCCTGATTTCACTGTGTCTCTTTCATCCTTCAAGTGCCTCATTGAAGCCAGTTTACCTGGAGAATTCATTATTTCAGGGATTCAATTGACAATTGATGTGTGTTTCTACTCATTATTCGATTCAAAGATCAGAGCATTAATTTTATCGATAAAATTGATGATCCATTGATAATTTACCTTCGAAAATTGTTTCATTGTCACGTAAAATTCTGTACATTTCACCCTTCTTCAGCATTCCGTCAGTGCAACGACATCCAGCTACGTTAACTGGTTTTCTCTTCTCGTTTATTTCGATTTGTTCAAGAACATTTGCTTTTCCTGCAGAAGCAGAAATAAGTCTGATCAATTACATTAGATTTCTTCTTTAATTTTATTTTTATTTATCCATTAATAATTGATAGATGATATCATTCAGCTAGGTGAACCTTGAACACAGGCTATTGAATATTGATTATTTTTTCTTTTAAATGTATTACGCCTGTATTTAGGGGTCCTCTAAATGATTTCTTGTTGAAACAGACGAGAAAATAAATTGCGATAGGACATAAAAAATCTAGATTACTAATCGACAAAAAAAATTACCGAGTATCTCCTCCTTCATTTCAGGGGCCAGCTTCTTTCCAATTTCACTCTTGACATCATCAATAAGTTTGTAGATAATTTTATGTGGACGAATGGAGACCCCCATTTTCATTGCAACATCCTGAATTTTTCTAGGTGTATCCACATTAAAAGTATAAACTATTGCTGCAAAAAATTACTTAATATGATAATTGAAAGACGATCAAAAGGAAAGAAATGTCATTTTCAAATTACCATCGAAGGCTTCTGCAAGTTCCACGTCACTTTCAGCAACAGCACCAATTCCATAATGAATAACGTCGAGGTGACAGCGTTTGTTATCCGAATATGTTTCGAAGGCATCGAGAATAGCTTCAGCAGAACCAAGAACATCAGATTTAATTACCACGTTGACTCGAGGAATGCCATCGTCATCTTCGGTCTCCTTCTTCCTGGGGCCTTTTATTTTAGTTCTCTTTCCTGACGCTCTTCGTGCTGCTAATTGTTCTTTATAAACCTGAACAATACGATTTAACATTGTATCTAATACAATATTATAAATTGTTGTTTAATTATTAAACTTTATATGTTAATGTTTCGTTTCTAGAATTCGGAGTAAATGCCCCCCATCTACCAATAAATCAAAATGGTGCGAAAAACGTTAAAATTCACCGCAAAAATGTCAAAGTATTCTGTATCATAATTTTTGTCGACTATCTCTAGATACAAATCTGAAAAAAAAATCAATTGATTCATACAAATGAAATTCCTCTTGATCACAGGTTTACACTTCAGATTTCTTTTTTTTTGTTCCCTTAAGAAAGGGATTAATAAATGATAAATGATTCGGAAAGTTTTAAGTTGCAGGGTAATTAGGCAGAATTTAATTGACTTTTACCTCATCATGAGCCACTCGCCGCTCTTCAATAATTTCGAGAGCATCGAGGGCTTTCGTCTTGGCCTGTTGTCCCTGCCGATGTCTGATGATGACACTTGCTCGATGTTCATCTTGAACCTCTAGGATTTCATCCCCAGCGAATGGTAACTCTCTCCATCCAATGATTTGAACAGCTTCTGAGAGTTTTGCTTCTGATACTGGAGCTCCCCCGTGATCAAACATCGCTCGAACCTTCGCCCATGCAATTCCACTCACTAAAAAAAGAAAAAGAAAATAAATACAATTATATTCAATTGGAGTTCTTCCCCTTCAAGTTATTTTTTAAACGACTCAGTTCGACTTAATTTTATTCCTAAATGTATTTCATTGTATTATCAGTTGGTGATGATGATAATTGTACATGATAAACTGATGAAAATCAAAAACGATATATCCTTTCGGGTCAACGCGATAAATAATTTTCCGGAAAATTAAAAAGCTGGTTAAATTGGACTACGAGTGGGGCAGAGCATCCTTAAATACTCACCCAGAACAGCTCCTTTTCTGAGTGTTCCCCGTTGAATGAGAACAGTCGCGAGTTTTCCTCTTCCCACTTGAGTTGAAACCTCGAGGACCACCCCCTCGACCAGTCCTTTGGGATCCCCTTTCAGGTCACGCACCTCAGCCAATGCTGCAATCGTCTCTATCAACTCCTTCAAATTTGTTCCCTTGAGGGCAGAAATATTTACAGACGGAATTTCTCCACCCAGTGATTCTACTTGAATTCCTTGCTCAGCCAACATCCTCTCAGTCCTTTCCTACCGCAAGATCATGAATGAAGATTTATTAATTTCCTGAATTTCTCAGTTAAAACTGGATTCAGCGGATGAACGGATAAAGCATTAAAATAGAGAATAAGTTCTTGGAGAATTCCCAACAATGGAGATAAAACGTGAAAATCGACTTTTTATCTCTTCATAACACTTCCAACTAGTAAATCACTATACTATTAATAAATTTAAAAAAAAACGAACTAAAAACCAAGATGTGTGGAATAAAAATGAGTTTTACTCTCAATTTCTTTAATTATAGCTTACATTCCAATAACGATTGTTATCCTTTTCAGAGCCGTCAATTAAAACTATTAAAACAAAATCCTGTACTCCATTCGCACTAATTTTCATAAAAACTAATTATTATTTCCATACAACAATCAAATCAATTAAAAATGTGGCAGAATATGTAACCTTGATTGCCACTTGTAATCACAGTCGATTAGTTTGCAGCAATCCTCATATGTGCTAGACTCTTTTACGACGATGAGAATTGACATTCAAGAAAAGAATCGATTTCATGTTAAATTTCCCAAAGAATCTCTGAGCAATCGAGAGAAAAATTAATCAACAAAACGTTACCTACAATATCGGCGTCAGGCTTATCGATCTTGTTGACAGCGACGATGATGGGTACCTCGGCTTCCCGAGCCATTCTGATGCTCTGGACAGTCTGCTCCATGACCCCGTCATCAGCAGCAACAACGAGGACAACGATGTCAGTGACGTGAGCTCCTCTCGCCCTCATGGAGCTGAACGCAGCATGCCCAGGAGTATCGAGAAATGTTATTCTCTCGCCTGAGTCCAGGTTGACGTTGAAGGCACCGATGTGCTGAGTGATACCCCCAAATTCAGAGTCCACCACTGACGTGTGCCTCAGGGTGTCAAGGAGTGTTGTTTTGCCGTGGTCTACGTGTCCCATGACAGTCACCACTGGATGTCTTTTGATAAGCTCCGAGGGATCAGCTGGGGGACGTCTTACAGCGTCGATGCTCTTGTCATCTTTGATCTCTTCACTACCAGGAGGTGACACCAGTTTGTACCTTCCACCCAGTCGTTTCACAGCGTGAAAGATCACTTGGGGATCCTCGATCACCGTTTGGGAGTCGTAGGGACTCGTATCGATGTAAGATATTGCCTTTAGAACATCTTTCACTGATCGGTTTGACACCTCTGCCATATCCTTAACTGTCATCCTCTTCCAGACGTTCAACACTGGCAGCTTCACCAAGGGCTTCTGATTGTACACGTAGTCACTTATGGCTTCCTAGAATTAAAAAAAAATACGTACACAAAGAATTCCATAATTCATATAATAAACAAAAATTTAATATTCAGTCAAAATAATTATTTGAAGCCTATTCTTTTAATTTTCGCTTTCTAATTATAACTTCTACTTAAACCCCAAAAGCGAGAGATATGCGCATCCTTTTCTAGTATCTATAAAATATTTCCATTTTATTATCGGTAGGCTTCCTTCAATTATATTGAATATGCTCACTTGTTGTGCTCGAGTTTTCTTCCTCCTGAGACTTGGAGTTGAGTGATAAGAGTGACAGCTTATCATTGCGTTCAAACACAAAAGCTTCCATTGGAGTTTATTTGAGTCAATCCGAATTACAGTATTTATCAAAGGGAATGATTTTCTGAAACGATAAAAAATAAAATAATCATTAGTCTGTTAATTTCCAGTTAAACCTCATGTCGTAAATTTTTTAGCAAAAACTATTTCCGTTCTTATCGTCACTGTTAATGTATGACGATTATGAATATAATTACCTAGATCACCTAATTAGTGTCTGAAATTACTTCAGGTATTTCTTCTCGAAGAATATCCCATTGATCAATCGATCAATCAAGACAATTCTAAAGTACTGTTTTTATTTATGCAAATACTCAGATAGAGGTTATAATCAACTGATGAAAAAATTTATCGGTTTGTCAGTGGAAATATCAATGCCTGGTAATTTACAAATATTATAGGGGACCATATTAGTTATAAGACATGGAACAATACACGTGACAATTAAATGTTGTTTAATAAACGAGTAATTACCCTTTTGCCGCTGTACACGTTCGACCCAAGAGCGCGGCCATGACGCAACAACAAGATAAAACAGCGATTTTCGTAGCAGTAGCCAAAGAGGATTGACCAAAGTAGAGGCTCAGTTCTGGGGGTTTGAGTGACCCCAGCGGCATCGTAGTAGCCGACCCCATAAGAGGGAGGGCACCACACGCAACGCTGGGGTATCTGTCGTTAGCCGACGCAGCGACTTTTCAGTAGTATCCCTCCAGCTTCCCTTTTAATAACTCTGAGCTCTTCGATGCCTCAGATTCCACTGACTGGAATTTTTGACGAGCTGATTTCAAAGCCTCCGACTGCTGATTATTTGTG